TAATTAATTTTGTGTAAATTTTTATATTAAATTTATGTCTTTTTATAGGTTTTATACAAAGTCAATAAATTCAATATAAATTTATATAAAATTAATTATAAATTTTATAACTAATAAAATTTAACCTCTATCCTTTAAAATATATTAGATAAACCCTACTTATAATTGTTGCTCTGTAATTTTATAGGTTTTATACAAAGTCAATAAATTCAATATAAATTTATATAAAATTAATTATAAATTTTATAATTAATAAAATTTAACCTCTATCCTTTAAAATATATTAGATAAACCCTACTTATAATTGTTGCTCTGTAATTTTTCATTGAAATGGAGGGAGAATATTCCCATAATCCCATAAAAAAATTAGAGGGAGAATAATTGAAGCCGTTAATCGCACCCCCTCAATTAATGATCTGGCAAACGATGAGGTCTATGATCGCCACCGGTCATTCCACCTCACCATGACGACATGTTTTTTTTTCTTTTTCTTTTTTGGCCATAACTAAGCACATGCTGTATCAGTATTTTGCTTGAGTGAAAAAAGGTTGGGGAGAGAAATGAAAGGAATACTCAAAATACTCACTCCTCCTTTTTGGGTTAAAAATAAAATATTAAAAATTTAAATTAAAATAAAGAAATAATTTTTTTATTATGTGTTATTAAATATTAGTTAAAAATATATTTTTTTATATATTTTATAATTAATTTATATAAAAATATAAATAATAATTTTAATTTAATTAATTAATCAAAATTATTTATCTATTAACAATATTAAAATAAATATGGTTAATTTTTATATAAATGGATTTAAAAACATATTAATTAGAGGTAGGCAAACCCATAACCATAAACAAAACCCTTCTCTTCCTTTATTTATTTTTTTTTGAGTTTATCTATTTTATTACAAAGTTATATGTTAAAAATATATTAAAAATATATATTTATTATAAAATTTATAAATTTATTAATTATCTAATTAAATTTATGTATTATTAAAATTAATATTAATTTTTATATTATATATATTTATAATAAAAAATAATAAATATATCATTATTCTGTTCCTTAAAAAACATATGATAGAAATTTTTCTATTTATTAATAGAAAAAATTTCTCCCACTTTTCTCAAACAAAAAAGAGCAATACATGTCAAAAGTAGCCGAGCGCAATTATGATTCCCCCACCTGCACCACTACTTTATTAATTAAATAAATTTTCTTTTGTCCTGGTTAACGATCTGCTGCCCGCCCCTTGTTTTAGCATTGTCTAAAAGTAAGAGCCTTTAGAAGAATTTACATTTGCATATTTATTAGTGATTCTTCTTCATTCCAAATTTCCAATCTCCATAACTGGTAAGTCCTACCAAATCCCTGGCTGCATCCATTTTCATTATCTCCTTTCCCTTTTTGCTCTCTACCTGTCTCCCTTACTATCTGATCTCTGGATTCGATTTTACTTTTACCGATGATTCCTGCAGCGAAAACGAATTTTGTAATTCAGAAGAAACTGATTGCTTTATCATTTTGCTGGATTGTACCATATTGGTTTTGATGCATTACCAATTTGTTTTGTAGGTTGATCCGATTGGTCACTTGCTCAACACTCAAGATCAGCATTGCTTGATTTCGTTCATTCAGCTTTTTTAACTTTCTGGGATTATACAGCTTTAATCCCCAAATTGTGTTTGATTTTGACTCGATATTTTTTTTTGATTGTTTGTGTCTTCGTATTGTTGATCCAAAATTTGGAATTCAAGCTGGAGCATCACTGTTTAGTTTCATGCTTGTGACATTCCTATTGTGGATTTATGGTGCATCCGTGTTTTTGTTCTAGTGTTTTTCTATTGCTCAATTTTGATGGTGCTGCAATCTTGTGACAAAACCTCTGTTTGGGAAAGTGGTTTCAATGCTTGTGGGACTTCTCCATAGTCATGGTAATATATACAGAAGCCTTTATGTGATGATAGGGTACGGTTATTGCTGTTCTTGGAGATTTAGGTTAACGGATCAGGTTATTTAGTGGAGTTTCAAACTTAATTGTTAAAAGTGCTGCACAATTTTGATATGAGAAGCTTCTGGTTTAATAAACTGTCCGTCACTTTCGGCCCAAGACCACCATTTAGTTGGCTGCTATTGTGCCTTGTTAGCGTGCTTGCACTAATTGCAGTTTTAGGATCATCATCTTCTTATAATGCATTTGACTCTGTATCTTCCACACTGGTCCCTGAGACATATACAAATTATAGAAGGCTAAAGGAGCAAGCAGCAGTTGATTATATAGATTTGAGAGCTCTCTCACTGGGAGCTAGTCACCCAAGAGAGCTTGGCCTTTGTGGCAAAGAAAAAGAACATTTTGTTCCTTGTTACAATGTTTCAGCCAACTTGTTGGCAGGATTTAAAGATGGGGAGGAGTTTGATCGTCATTGTGAAGTGTTACGAAAGGGACCTCGCTGTTTGGTTCGCCCTCCAAAAGGGTACAAGATACCTCTGCGGTGGCCAGTTGGCAGGGATGTTATATGGAATGAAAATGTCAAGATAACCAAAGATCAGTTTCTTTCTTCTGGGAGCATGACCAAAAGGTACACTTTCATTGAAGATAGATACAGTTCTCTGATTCTGATAGTAGATATTTATTGGACCAACATCCTTTAAAGAAGCTACATCAAAATATGTTATTTCATTTGACATCTTTGCTGGTTTCAATGAGCAGTAATTGGTTACTTATGCAGAATTATCAATTTTTTACAAAATTTCTAGGTTGATGTTGCTGGAAGAAAATCAAATTGCTTTTCACTCTGAGGATGGGTTGATCTTTGATGGTGTCAAAGATTATTTGCGCCAGATTGCAGAGATGATTGGACTGGGTCGTGACTCTGACTTTATTCAAGCTGGTGTAAGTCTTGTTTCATTTTATGTTACATTCTTGCTTGTTACTTTTTTGGATGTAATTGCTTTGGAAATATGGACCTCCCATACAAATCTTTGTAATCTGAGTAACAAAGTAAATAACTGAAATGGAAAAGGTGTTGCGTGGTCTTTCAAAGGGAAGTACAACTATACACTGAATGATATTATTTTGATGCTCTTATGCCAATTACAGGTGCGTGCTGTACTTGATATTGGTTGTGGATTTGGAAGCTTTGGAGCTCATTTGGCATCACTCAAGTTAATGGCTCTTTGTATTGCTGCATATGAGGCAACTGGCAGTCAAGTTCAATTTGCTCTTGAGAGAGGTCTTCCAGCCATGATTGGCAATTTCATTTCAAGACAACTCCCATATCCGTCACTGTCCTTTGACATGATTCATTGTGCTAAATGTGGTATTGTTTGGGACAAAAAAGGTACTTCTCAAGTTTCTGGTATTGTTAAGGTTGTTCTCTATTATGTTTTTTTGGTTCTTTTTTCTTTAATTGCTGCAAAACTATTTTTGAGAGTGAGCAAGATGGATCATTGTATTTTTTATATTTATTTCCTAGGTCCTTTTTTATTGCCAAATATACTCAACTGAACTTTTTGTTTTTCAATGTAAACGCTGCTCCTTTCTCCCTTCTCCTCCCACCCCTCTCCCCAGGGGCACAAAAGACCTATTTCTGTCTGGCAGTCTTTGTCTGATAGCTCAACTAGTTTTCTACTGGTTCCACCAACAGTGGCAGCACATCATTGATTAACTTTGGGGCCATTTTGCATGCACAAATAACATAAGGAAAAACACTGAAATAGAAATATGGTGGGGTTGTCAAATATATCTTTATTATCAAATCAATTCATGGAGCAAGTTGCATTATTTGTAATGGCTTATGGCATAGCAGAAGAGGTTGATGGGATTTGTGTCATGTAGAATTGATTTACTTTTGCTAGGTTCAATTCTAAAGAGGCATTTGAATAGTCAAAGTCCCTCTGATCCCCCACCAAGCTGGAAAGACAAGTAGGAAAACTCTAATAGTCGTAAGCATTTATAAAGTAGCCTTGAATGTTGGGTATTATCTTTGAAAGCATCCACAAACTTCTAAAGATTTGGTTTACTATGAATCACACATCACTTTGCATTTTTAGTAAAAATTAATGGAAAAGCATAGCACACTTTTTTAATATGGTATTTACTTTGTTTTCTAACTATCCCTTGAAAAAACAGAGGGGTTCTTCCTTATAGAAGTAGATCGGGTACTGAAGCCTGGTGGTTTTTTTGTTTTAACCTCACCAACCACCCAGCCACAAGGAAGTTCAGCAAGTATGAAAAAGAGAAACATGTTGACAACAATGGAAGAATTCACTGAGAAAATTTGTTGGAGTCTTATTGCTCAGCAAGATGAGACTTTCATCTGGCAGAAAACAGCTGACATTCACTGCTATTCTTCTCGGTGAGTATGCAAACAATAGAACATACTCTACACTCTAAGTGAAAATTATCAATTTTATTTTCATGATTTCAACTCTGTAAAGCATTTTTCCCCTTGCTATTTTACTTGGGTAAAACCATATTAATGTGTTTATATTTCTACTGGAGTGTAGCAAGCATGGTGCTGCACCACTTTGCAAAGAAGGACATGATGTTCCATCATATTATCACCCCCTTGTGCCATGTATCAGTGGAACCACCAGCAAACGCTGGATTCCCATACAGAACAGGTCCTCCAGCTCACATTTAAGCTCTGCTGAGCTCGGGATTCATGGAAAGTATTGTTTCAATGCATATTATTTTCCTCTCTGCATTTCCCTTTTTCAAGTTGTCTTGGGATTCTTTATCTGTTCCATTTAGCTTGATGTTGAATGGATATCCTTTGATGTGTTGGTTTGTTTATGTGCATAAATTTTTGCAGGAGTTAGTCCAGAGGAATTTTTTGAAGATTTGCAGGTTTGGAGATCAGCTTTAAAAAACTATTGGTCTTTGCTTACACCCTTAATTTTCTCTGACCACCCTAAGAGGCCTGGTGATGAAGATCCATTGCCTCCATTTAACATGATACGCAATGTGATGGATATGAATGCTCATTTTGGGGCCTTAAATGCTGCATTTCTGGAGGAAAATAAATCTGTCTGGGTGATGAATGTTGTGCCTGTCAGGGCTCGTAATACACTTCCTCTCATAATCGACCAAGGTTTTGCTGGCGTTTTACATGATTGGTTAGTTTTCTGCATTTCCATTAAAAATATCTGTGAGTTGACAGTTTTAAGCTTGAATTTCAATTCAAATTATTTGAGA